CTTATGCTCTAATAAATTTGTTAGTCTCTAAGGTGCCACAAGTACTCCTGTTCTTCTTTTTGCGGATACAGACTAACACGGCTGCTACTCTGAAACCTTTAGTTTTTAGATTTTTCCTGAGTATATCATTAGATATTGTATTATACTATACAACCTATGCTTGACATTATAGCCTTTTGCCACCTTGACCAAGCAGTATCTGGCTGCCTTCAAATTAGAACATTACAACAAATCTGCATTTCATCTTAATGATATATATTTGAAACTGTAGAAGAACTGTTTCTAGTCCCTAGATTGTATGTACTGAGTATGTGAACTTATTCACAATTTATTGCCACCGGACTCCTCGTTGAACTTATTTTCTATTTACTTTAAAAATCAGTAAGAAGAGCACCACACATTTTTATATATTTATAAAACATACATATATATGGAGACAAACTTAGGCAATACATTTATAGCTATAATACTTATGTAAATAACTATTTCTGATTATTGTTGCCTACGTTTGCTTCCAATTACAATATGCATGTTATTTTTATGTACACATTGACAAAATATCAACAACAGAATTGTGGTTTCTTTAAATTCTGTTTCTGGTTGATAAGGTTATTTTTTAAAACTTATAGTTTATTAAGGAGTGCCAGAAAATTTCTGAGCAGAGAGAAAGAACAGATACCACAAAGAGAATATGGAGGTTTTTAATCACCAATTATTTAATGCTTTCTAATTGTATGAACACCTACCTGGTCTCTAATTCAACAGAACCAATCTGAAGCACAAAGCAAAACAACAACAAAAACGCTAACATCAATGACTGAGATTATTAAATGCAGATAGGAGACATACATATACATGTATATTATTTGGGTGGGAGGGGTCCCCCCCAAACACCACCAAACAGAAAGCCCTATAGATTAGACACATTAATAACATCTAAAACAACATACAAATTTCAACAACTGAGGACAGCATAGGCTCAAAGTATTTTGATAACTTTATACATTTATTTTCAGTCAAGTAGATTGACATGTTATCTATCTCTCTGCCCATTTGTTACAGAATCCAATGTAAATTAAAGGCTTGAGCGCTGCATATGGCCCCACTGGAGTCTTTGGGATTTTAGCCATTGAATTCAATGGCAAGAGAATTACACCTTTGATTTGCAATCTTTTCTTGGGCAAAATTCGCATTGAAGTAAATGTTGTCTAACTAAGAACTGCAGGAGAAAGCCTTGTATTAAATGTTCTGCATGAAATAGAGGCAAACACAAACAGATTTAAATTTACAGTCAACACATTGACCTGATCCTGAATTGCTTCTGCATCGATTGTCTTTAACAGGAATTATGCATGCATAAGGTGGCTCCTACTTTTCACTATTTAGTACTTTCTGTTTTTCTTGTCAGTATACAAAGTTACCTCATTTAGCTTTCACTCTGAGTTGCTCAGCTTTTGCAGTTTGCTAATTTTCCATTAAAAAAATCCTACTGGTTTCCCTGGAGGATATGTTCACTTTAAGAATATCACATATAGAAACAAAATAGATTTGTTCTTATTCAGAAGATACAGAAGAGAAACATCTGTTTTTATTTTTAAAGGTCTACATGGTTGTCCAGAACTGTGGCAGTTGGATTGGCAGTCTAATTTTTCCATAAGGCTGTCACACATACATATGCATAAACCAAAACACTGGGATTGTTCTATCTCTGCACGAATAAATACAAAATAAGAGGCACACACTAACCTGTGCAAACTTAGCTTTAAAAAAAATGCAAATGTCTTTTGTGCTTCCAATTTACTCCTCTAAAATAAAATAGGCTGTATAATTAGCATTAATTAGCCAAACTCCAAGGCGAAGTAACAAACTGTTGAATTAATCCAAGCATTTATCTTCTTGGATTTATTAAGCATGAAGCTACAAGGACAAAGAATGTTACTTACAGCCAATTGGTGAGATTCCTTCTTCTCCACTCCCTCTTTCTCTTTCTTCCTCTTTCTTTGCTCCCCTGTGACACTTATAAAGCACAGAGGATGCTGTTGTCAGTTTATATAGGCAGAGTAACCACTTCTCCCTAGCCTATCAGAGACAAGTGCTTTGCATTTAACATTCAACAGCAGCAGCAGCATCTCCCCCCTCTCTCTCCCATACTCCATCCTAAATATATTTAGAACAAAATAATCTATCTAAAAAGCAGACCCATGCAGCTGAGCAACTACTGTCGACTGGATTTGGTATTAGGGGAGGGCGCTATTGTTATTTTTCATGACACTGGCAGTCTCTAAACAAATTTTCTCTCTCTCTCTCTCTCTCACACACACACACACACACACACACACACACACACACACACACACACACACTACTT